CGATGCTCCAGCTGCTCCTAGAGGATCACGCAGGCGCTGTATGCGTCCTGCGCATGCGTGGAAGCACAGAACTCGTCAAAACTGGGTTAGGAGCGCGGGCAGGCGGGCGGGCCCTTCGCCGTTCCCGGAAGTTACTTACTTCTGGGTTCGCCAACCAACCGGTTCGCGGGGACCGTCGCGAACCGGTTGAAACCCACCCCTGATACTGTGTCTATATGTAAAATGACAATAAAGTAAAGTATAAGCAGTCAGAATGGAGACTATATCCATAAATTGAACCCTTCCCCTTTCTATGTGCTTATGCCATCTATGAGTATACAAAAGGGTAGGGCTCCAATTACATACAGTGTCAATCCTGAAGCTGGCCTGAGCCATTTTCTGAGCTTCAGTGTTGCCACACTGGAGCTGAGGGGTAGGGAGGGGGATATAGAGATAGATGGGGTTGTAGCCAAAACAAAATACTTTCTCCTGGGAACCAAGGACATTGCCACCGGCGGTCGGAGAGAGGAAAAGTGAAGTTACCATGCAACTGGAAGATACAATGATTGGACCATGGGACTGATTGTTTGGGGAAGGGATGAGGAAACCTTTACTTTTCAATAGGTGAAAAATGCAGGAATACTCAAGAGTTGGTTTACTCCAGGTTCTTTGAGGAATCTACCTACCTTAAAGTTTTCTTTATTATGGGTGCATTACTTGACCTAGAGTACTTGCAGCTGCCATCTTGCCTTTTTCGACCCCACCCCTAGTGCTCTATTCTCCCAGAATACTAACAACCTTCCCCAGGAAAATAAAAGGATTACCGGCTTACCTTCAACAATGGCTCTGGCAAACGTGTGAGTTGCAATATCACACTTTTCGTATACTGAAGGGTATATGAAGGGGCCAAGGCAAAAAACATCTTGACCTTAGCAGCCAGGTGAGGTATTATTGAAAAAGCTACAAAGCCTGGAGATAAAGATAAAGACATTAGTGTCCTTTAATTTGACTTTTATTGCAATAATTGTAGGAATGCTGATTACATTTTGAATTAAGCTTGGCTCACTGGATATGGTTTATTTAGCAACAACGCAAGAGGGGTCTGTCCTTGATTTGTTCCAGAAAGTAGTTTTCACCTTCCAGATCAAGCTTAGGTTTTTGCTTTTTCCTGGGAAATTTCAGATTCAGAATCGGTCAATTGAGTTCTGCCACCTAGCTACAGAGGTGGGTTCCTACCAGTTCGCACCTATTCGGTAGAACCGGTTCGT